CACTGCTCACCGGGGCATGGGAATACCAAGCGTTGGAATTGCGTTGTCCCAAAAAAATAAAATTAAGAGCATCACCTCTGACATTGTCGAAACTTTTTAATAAAAATCACGCGAAAATCCCTTTAATGCTTCACGGCGGAAGTTTTTGCATGCATAAATTCAACTTGCGAACAAGTTGCAAGTTTTTTTCTTTTCGCCAAGTTTTCGCCCCCGCAGTTTATGGTCCGAGCAGTTTACCGACTCAGCCGGTCAGAAATCTCGACCGAGAAAACCCGAGGGGGAGAGAAACGGGCACATTTTTTTCTGATTTGACGAGTGGATGGAGCAGGAGAGTGACGGAAAAATCGAAACGTCAAATAAAAATACAAGATCTGGAGGGTTGATAAGCAATGGGGCCCTCCCATGTGTAGTTCAACTCCAAGATTGACGAGCACGAAAGTTCGTGTCAGAATCGGTCGGAAGGTGAGATATTCATGGGGATTATTCAGCTGCTGCGCCATTTGATTGCAACCATCCTCTTCGTACCGAATGCGCTCGATTATCCAATTTTCACGTGGCAAGGAATAAGAAAAAAAAAAAAAAAAGAAAGAAAAGAGATGGAGGGGCTGAATCAAAGTCTAGATTTTATGCAAATTTGACGCTGGTAGTACTGGTGATTCTATGCTTCGTCCTTGCGAGAATAAACAATTATTTTATACATATTTTATTAAAGAAAATGATTAAAACCGAGTGAATTGATAATTATTTTGGAGAATAAGGAGCGCAAGACTCATAAAAGATGCAAAAGTAATTTTTTAATTGTTAGAACTGTACTACATGATTTTCAGTCCTCTTAAATCATTTGAAATGTCAGATGAAATACAGATATGCGCGTAGTGTATACATAAGTGATGTTTATGTCAAGTTAAATAATTATACGAATTGTGTTGTGAGCCATGTGACCCAGCACGTGTTTTTTTTTATAAACATTCATGTAAAAGTTGTTCGCTGTTAAAATACACTACAATTTTTTTTTGAAGCTAATAATCATAAGTTTGCGATTATGAAATACTTTTGTTTTTCAATTCTACTAAAAATATAATTCTATGTGATAGGATGAGCTTATCTATTGTATAAGAAAAATAGGGCGAAAAACAAAAATTCAGTATTTATAGATAATTTGCATAATTTATGAATAAGTTTACATACAGGCGTACAAGAAAAAAATTTCCATTTTATGAAAACCGTTTGAAAAACTGCCAAGTCAAAACGCACTCCAAAAAAAATCACCAAAACCACATGCACCCTATTATATACATATAAATTAATTATATATACCACATACTTATACTAATAAAGAAATAAAATCAAGAAAGTAATGATTAATCAATATCATAAGTAGCTAACCAGAAACTTTGTAAGTTATAAAAGTATAGATTGTACTCAACGCTTGGAAAAATATCTTTGGATCACAAAAAAAGGAGTATAGTACACAAATGACGCCATCCACCACGTCGCAAATACATTTAAAACAAGAAACACGTGTCGAAAAATAACAATGCTTTCACCGAATATTATTTGGCTCGTAAACGACAACTCCATGGGTAATCACAAGTTTTAAAAAATGGAGCAACCGGGTATTCAGACACGTGTCCAGCATCCATAAAAACAACCAGTACATGCCATGCCATTTTGATGCACTTGATTTTTTTTTATTTTTTGTGATCCGAGTTACTTATTTGCATTCAAAAGCCATTGTTGTTGAAAAAACCATTCAAACGCTCGAATCAGCTGACGCGACGAGCCAGCTATAAGCAACGAGCGATGAGCCGGTCTCGGGTACCAAGTAAACGCGTGCGAGCCCAGCATTGTCCTGCCCCCCGATTGCAAAGTAGAGCCACGCACAATGGGGTCGGCGTACTTTGTTAGTTGTTTTGAAAATAAGTGTTGACAAACCTCAGTGGGCGACGAAAAGGGAGAAAGAGCCGCCGAGCATCAGCTGACCGGAGGACGAAAGGGTTGCGCGAGGCATCGACGTAGGACCCCTCATTTAGCTACGTATGCACGAAAAGCCTGTCACTGGGGATGAGTCGCTGGCGGGGGATGTGTGGCTGCTGCAGCGGCGCGTACGGTGTATGGGCGACTGAGGCCACCCTCTCCGGCAGAGGGTGCGCGAAAAACTGAGCCAGCCAGCTGGCAACGTGTGGGTGCAGGCGCCGCCAGATGGGGCGGACCAGGGAGGGGGTGAGTTGAAAAGGAGGCCAGCGCCAGAAAGAGACGGTGGTGGCTGCGGCGTTGGATAAGCGAAGGGGATGGACTGAAGGGGACGACGGTCGAGCCGCGAGAAGAGAAAATCGTTAAGAACGTCTCGAATGGAGTTATTAGCTTCTCGAGCCTATATACCCCCCTTGCGAAGCCCGTCATTCCCCTCTTCGAGGAGTTTCGGATTAATTAAGATCGGAAGCTGTATAGGGATGATTTTTTTCTGTCCCAACGCGGAAACTAAATAAAGCTTAGCACGATGCGCCAGTTGGATGGGAAAATTAACTATATACGATTCAGATCAACTAAACTAATTTAGTCTATATCTCGCGGAACTGTTTAACTGGTTGCACCCTGTTTTACTGCTTGTACAACGAGAGCTATACATCTTGAGAATTTTATCGCTCTTCAATATATACAGATTCGAGGCACTATTACAAACACGTGAACGTATTTTACCACGTGAAAAGTAATTGGGGGATATCTAGTATTAAATTACTTTGATTTAACATCAAAATAACGCATCTACGTACAACACAATATTTTTTGGTATACAAACACACGCTTTTTTCTACAAACCAAGTGGAAAGCTCACCACTGTTCTAGAGATACTACGTTTAACAAGTGATTCTTATGCAGCTTTTTTGTTTAGATCCTGCCGGTTTGGCCAACTTGATGAGTCACCCAAGTGAGAAAAGTTCTCTCAAAGAGAGTTAACCTCGAGCTGACACCCTTATCCATTTAAAATACGGAAACACGCATACTTGACTTGCAGTAAAGACAAGCTGTTGTTTTTCAATTTTTTCCAGAACAACTTAAAAATCAATGAAATAATTTTGTGATATGCAATATTTTGTAATTGAGAGCCGGCGAATGTTGGGCGTTAGGTAAAAAAAAAAAAAAAAAAAAAAAAAAAAAAAAAAAAAAAAAAGTATCTTATAAAGGGCGAGAAAAAAAGTAATTAGTATTTCGCCAATAGTACCGCAAGCGCCTTCAGCACGGAAGTCTTACTCTCGAGTGCAGCTGTAAAAAAGGTAAAAAAGAAATATACCACAAAAGGTCTCCGTTCTCGGGTCGCCGTTGCCGCTACCAAAGCCGGTACTTGCGCCCTCCTCTTACGTAAAGAGAGTAAAAGGTATACTGCAAAGATAAACCGAACGGAGAACGGATCTCTCTTCTATTGCGGTGATAAAATGTATGCAAAGAGCCATTCGGAGAGCAGAACGGGCAAAGACTGCCACGAGCGAATGAAAGAGAAACGACTCGAGTGCGATCGATCGATGGATCCGCCATTAATAAAGTGAATCTCGAGCTAAAGAGCGTCAGATTTCAGGATGGGATTTCATTCCGAACTATCTCTTAACTTGCCGAAAACGCCTCATATAAATTTCATCCTTTGCTTTATTTTTCCGAATTTCATTACGTTACTAATGATAACCAGAAATCACGTACACTATGTGCAAGCACGTCAAGTTGAGCTTTGCGCCCAGAGCATCGTCTAAATATATAATTTACGTGATTTCGGTGCGTAGCAAGTCTCGCAATTCAGGTATTCAGAGATTAGTTAATCGAAACATGGCTTCTACGGTCGATAAAATAAAATAAAATTTTTCCAAATGATTCTTTATTCGACGTAGTTTGGCTAGTTTTATCAACAGAGACTTTTTTTTTCCTTAAACAAGCACGACTTTTCAGATAATGTCCACCAAGATGAGAAATCAAAATTATAAAATTTAGTACGATAACTTAAAGCGGTTTTAGGGCTTAAAGTTTTGGCAACACGCGAAAATACGCGATAAAAGGGGCGAGAGTATGCTTGCACGCGTCGTCAGAAAGTCGCGTCAGCTAGGCGCCTCCGACTTAGCACTGCTGCGATTAATCAATTGTAACAGCAGTATTGGACTCAGCAGCTTTTCCGAGATTTCAATTTTATTGTTTTCTTCTTGAAGGTTACCCGAAAGGCACCCGAAAATTTTTCAAGCGTATAGTATAAAGTGTTGGGTTTTCACAAAATTTCGAATGTCAAAAAAATTTAAGCATATGTATTCTCATAAATTTTACAAATTCTTTTGCCTACTGATGAAAATTTTCTTACTCTATGTTATAAACATTGCAATGAGACACGTTAGCTCCGAAACGCAATTAAAATTGAATCAACAGTAAAGCTTTGGTCACTCTCGTCTTAAGATTATTTTTTTAAAATCATTTCTCCTCCGTACAAAAAATACGATTAAGGATGATTATTAATATTAATAGTACAAATAAAAATAGTAATAATCATGATAATAATAGTGATGATAAAATAAATAATTAAATAGGAAAAATAAGGAACAACCATCATGTTAGCAATAAATGGAAAAAAATTTATTGAACTTTATAATATAATTTTTAAAGCAACAGTTGCAACAAATCATGAAATTTACAAATTAATGATATTAACTATGTTATTTCTATTATGTACAAAAACTATCGGGCAGTTTTAAGATTAATTACAATCCTTATAGTTAACAATAAAATTTATTAATTGACGTTTTACGTGGCATTAAAAAATAAATACGTTTAAAATCCTTGTCACCCACACCTTTAATTTAATGTATACCTCTGTAAAAATATGTATTTACACCATAATATAATAATATTTCGAGATTTTTTCTCATATTTTACTCGACAATATTAATTTAGCAAAAAAAAAGTATAAAAAATGATGCTGTATTTTTCACAATACAAAACTATATTTGTATATGTATATAGAAAATACAATTACATGATTTTTCACGTTTTAATTTAACGTTAAAAAGGATTCTGTTTCAATTTTATTCTCAAAATTTTTCCCGACGCATTTTTGGGTAAGCAGTCAATGAATTGAACACCACCTGTATAAATCGTAATCAACAGAATTATCAGTTTTTGTATGATAAAATGGTATATAGTATGAGACAATAAATTTTCAAAGTACCTTGAAGTTCTTTAAACTTAGAGACTTTCCCTTTTACAAAGTTCTGAATTTCTTCCGCACTTGTTTGTCCTTTGTTTTTGAGGACAACAAACGCTCTGGGAACTTCCCCACATCTTTCATCTGGAATGCCAACCACACCAGCTTCGGCAATGTTAGGATGCTCTCTGAGAATAGCTTCCAGTTCAGCTGGGGCAACCTATAAAAAAAATTTATTGTTTGATTATTATTTATTTTTTACGTTATCTCAGTCTCATGTGTGAATTATAGAAGCCATAACGACTACTGGTAAAAATGGGACCGAACAAGCAATTATATTACTCACTTGGAAACCCTTGACTTTGATGAGCTCTTTTAATCGATCGGTAATGTAGAAATCCAAATCTTCGTCGTAGTAAGCGATGTCGCCAGTGAGGAGCCAGCCATCAATAATCGTCTCGTCGGTGGCCTTTTGATTATTTAAATATCCCTTCATAACGTGTGGCCCTCGAATCCATAATTCACCAGTTTGACGGGGAGATTCGACGTCTTTCTTCGTAATTGGGTCCACTAACCGAACTTCGCAATTACTCACGGGTTTACCTATGCTTGAGTATTTTTTTCCTGTTATTTCGAATAGCGACACTGGAGATGTTTCCGTCAACCCGTAGCCTGCAATTAAACATTTAAAACGTCATTCCGTTTTTTTTTTGTTTTCTCTTGATTTATACTGATATTTTTCATTGACTCTGCCTCAAAATAAAAAGAAATGAAGATTCTATGCAATGCAGAAAAAAATCTGCCTTACCTTGAAAAAACGAGACTTTTTCTTGGTCTAGTTGAAATTTGTTATAAAATCGATTAATGTCAGTTTCAGACAGAGGAGCTGCGCCACTTATTACTGTCCTTATACTCTCCAAATGTTTTCTAGAGACATCCTTGTGAGTTGACAAAAAAATAACTATGGGCGGGGCTAATGACAACGACGTGACCTGACACACAAATATAGATATTTAACATGGACTACAATAAATATTAAAAATTATACTATTTTTTTATTTGATTTAATATAACTGAATTAACCTTGTATTCATCCAAAACTTTAATGTACGATTCTGGAGTGAATTTGGGCAAAGTTATGAGTTGAGCACCAATTGTCAGTCTGATCAACATAACGGCGCTCATTCCATAAATATGAAACAGTGGTAATACAACTGGACTTATATCTTGATGAGTTCCTACAACAACAAAAATAATAATTTTTCGATGATTTACAAAATTGAATAACGATTACACCAGAAAAAAAGACGTTTGAAAGAGAACGAGAGAATGAAACCAAGATCAAACGATTGTATTGTTTGATACACAAATATATTTTGGTTAAAACAACGATTGACTGAACTATAATTTTTTGACAAGCCGAGTAAAGCCAAAATATTCAAAATATTTATTGTACTTAACAGTACTCAACATCAAAATAATGCAATCTGTCATTTAGTAGTTAGCTAAAATTAAAAATACTTATTTTTGGAAACCAATCAACTAAGAAACAAGTGTAATAATATTCTAACCGAATTAGGTTAGCTGTTTTGTGCACTTTAATAAAACACATATACCAAGTAGGCGACGTATTTATAAAATTATCAAAGCTCACTTGACACATCTGCACACCTCTAAACTTTGTTTTCTTGACGTCATGCGTCGAACCATCATAATAGTTGTAAGTATTTAAAACGATTAGTTAGAAATTTCATCACAAGTTATGCAACCGCTAAATATTGTATCTCTAATTTTTTCACTTATGTGCGAGTCTAAACAAGATAAAATCTAAATGTGACCAAAAACTTACGTTCACAGCTTATGAATAACAGTTGATTATAGGATCAAAGGCTAACATAAACAATATCAATGCGATAAAACAGTTGGTTATACTTTGATCGAAGTTTCGCAATTTTCAATCGACAGTATTTGCTGCTTAGTTCCAAATCAAGTGTAATATTTAAATTCTCTTTCTTTCGCTCTCTTTTTGCCACGTATATTATCTCCTGTAAAAAAACAAGAGCAAGATCTAAGGAACTAAAATATGCCTGGGCTCGAGACGGATACAGTTTTGGCCGGCGAGATACTTAACACGTACATCAATGTATTTTCACAGAATCAGATTCATCTTTTTTTAGTATGATTGGCTCAAATTGGCATTGTTTCTCGCGACTACTATCGAACATTAATGAATTTACATTGTACCAATTTGTAATAAATAGACGCGACATTTGTATTTTGCCCGTCACTTACTTTGTATCATTTTCTTATGTTTCGTTTTTATCATGACTATGTAATACTACTTAGTAATTTGCCACTCGAACGTAACGTCCTTGGCATAAATCAAGTCTCTCTTTCTCTCTCTATTATCTGTCTCTCTACAACTGAATGAAAAATGTTACAGCTTTTGTGATTCATTGAATAGTAAAAAATCAGAGACGATGCATGAGAAATAGGCAATGAACAGCAATAACTTTGGTATTTTCAGTAATTATTATCCTTAACTAAAAAATTTTAAGCAAAAAATATTACCATCAGCAGGTGGAAGTATATCGTCGCTTAAGGTTCCTTTTAACATTTCTATGTTCGAGACTAAATTTCGATGTGTCAACATGACACCCTTAGGTAAACCCGTTGTACCACTCGAATATGGCAAAACTATTACATCATCAAAAGACCAGGTGTTGGGTGCAAGTACTGGAGGGAGCGACTGTCCCTTTGTCATGAGATCCTAAGCATCCATAAATTTTAATTAGCCACTAGCTACTATAAATAATATTAAAAAGCAAAGCAGAAGATTGAATTAATATCCATTAACATTGGTTATCGTTTTGCTGCTAAAATACGTAAAATGCGGAAACAAGTACGTTTTTGTAACAAGAGAACTCTGTGTCATCATAGAATTTATCTTTGGTAGAGTAAACTGGAGATTGTGTCCACGATCTGCTGTTAAATGAAAGTGGGTAGATTAAATGAGATTTATTAGTCTGTCTCACTTGAAACTGTTCGGAGCTTCTTGAATCGCACCCGATAGAAGATAAATTGTGTATTACATAACAACTGTGTAAAGCAGATGATTTTCTTTAGTTTGGCTGTGGCAGTACAGCTATTTTATTTACAAGAAGATAGTTGTTCAAGGAAGTCTTTTTAATTATTAAATTTTTTGCCAATCGGGAATGAACATGTGATTTATAAATCATGTAATCATATCCGCATGTGAAACTATTATTCTGTTGCGGGATAAGATAGTTTTTGTACACCATTTAAAACATTTTTTTTTTATATTACCCTATAAGTGATTGTACACATTTGATACACATTTTATACATTTCAGCAGCTTAACGATGATAAGTTAAATTCAAATAAATTATTTGGTCATTCGCCATATCTCCCACCATACTTTTTGACTATGTTTATGTACTTTCGTAGTTCTATCAGTGACGTAATGGTGGTACCTTTATCCACCATAGGGTTAATATCATGTAATAGTCGTCATAACAAATGATATCAGCAATAACAACAACAGCAACAATAATAAGATTAAATGTATATCTACCTCAAATGGAATTACTCCGTCTGGAAGTGGTTTTATCCGATCGTTAATAACGATGACTTGGGCACCAGGAATACTTTTATTTACAGCTTCCAATATGGTTGAAGATATTTCAGTTGAAGTAATAACTGCTTTCGCACCAGATGAAACCAATTGTTTCGCGATTTCATCTATAACATTAATTTTCGATTATCGAAAGAATGCAAGAAATGGAGGGAAATTTTCACGCGTCTAAAAATTATGAATTGTAGAAGTAGATGTCAAAATAAGTGGACATAAAAATAATGAAGTGCATATTTACCGGCTGTATACATAGGATTCACTGTGGTGATCACAATACCGGCCTCTAAACACCCGAGGAAAGCTATTGCAGTTTCCGGAAGATTTGGTAGGACCAGAGCAATAACTTGGCCCTGCTTTATGCCTATATCAAGCAAACTTCTAGCCACATAATTTGAAAAATCTCTCGCTTGGGCATAAGTATATTTTCTGCCCGTTACTCCACACACCTACTTCGAAAAATATATAATTTTTTTATGAAAAATTTTTTTTTTTAAATAATTTTTCAAATGAAAAAGTTGTCAACCAAACGGAAGGAAAAGTAAAATTAACAAGCATTTGCTCAAAAGTTGCTGACAACTTTTAATACTAATACTTAAATAATATTTATAGAAATATTATTTAAATGCCAAGTCCACTTGACTATTATACGATAAAAAAAATGAATGGCACTATTTAATAAGAGTTTAATGTTCCACTGAATAAGTATACTGATGAATTGAAATATTAAAAGTTATAATAATAATAGATATAATTGATAAATTTTATTTTTACACAAGTCATCCTTGGAATGCAAACTATACATATAACTTGATTCATTGCCCGGAGGGTGTGTCCGATTGACGATTAAGCGTTTTCTTATCACTTTTCGTGCAAAAAATAAAACTTGATAGCATATTATCAGCTTGTGCTAATTTAATACCACAAATTAAGAAATAACCAGACGTCTGCATACTTAGAGAAATAATAAAAAGCAGAAGTTGTTCTAAAACTATGGTATTTCGACTTTAGAAAATTTTTACGGCTTAAAATGGTTATTTTATTGTTAATACTGAAATGTTTACTATTTTTACAATAAAAATAATTGTACTTTCTGATAAAACTTTTTTTTTAGTTTTTAAGCAGTAATTCTTAGACATGACCAATTCATAAGAGTGCCTTATAATACTTTTGTCAAAGCAAAAAGTATAATCACTCATAAATCGCTTATTTTTTATGTGAAAAAAATTATATATAATTAACATACAACAGACACGTTTGAGTTTGTGGACAAAGTTGTAGATTACGATGAAATACAATTTTTTTTATACTGCACGTTTTAATGTAGCATACATTAAAAATGTTTTTTGTGCAAAAAAGATACGAAAACAGCAAAAAAAATCGTTTTTTCCTGCGATTGAAAGAAAGTTAAATTCAATAACAAAGTAAATACAAAAATTAAGGAGCTTAGTAAAATATGATCTTTTAATACAGTAAATTTAATTGCTGTGTCGATCTTATCACTTTGAATGGTAAACATTGTTTCAAAATGGATAAAAAATTGTTGAATAGCGTCTTACTTTCTTGTTTGCCATTAACCGATCAAATGCTGTATTTAATACTGGTAGAGGTCATAAAAATACACTACAATGGAATCCTAATACGATAAACGGCAAAAACCGTTTTGAAATGGACGAAAAATTATATAGCCCCTACGAAATTTATTTGACTAAGGGAGCCTGTACATGGGAGACTTGCACTTGCAAGTTCAGGTCAGATCGCCATAAGCCCGTGTGAGTGCGAGAGAGAGAACATATTTTCTTGCATCTCTCTCGCACTCGCACGGGCTTATGGCGATCTGATCTGAACCTGCAAGTGCAAGTCTTTCATGTACAGGCTCCCTAAGTGATAAAGACAAACGTTGTTTTAAATAGGACAAAAATCTAAAGAAATTGTATTAAAATAAAATAATCAATAACCCAAAACCCTATGATAATATTTTTTTGATGTCTTAAACGTATAGGTCGTGCCTTACACGCGAAACCGTAGCATTTTGTATAAATTTAGCTGCTTGTTACTTTTAATTTATTTCAGTGTGACAATTTTTTAACTCGAATTATTACGCATACCACTGCTGTCATGTTCGAGTAGTTTGGTAAAGTATTCCAGACATACTCGTGGAGAGGCATCTCTGGGTAAGTGACCGATCCGTAAGGCGATGAAATAATTTTTTCGCCATTCATCCCCTCGACAACCTTGGTCTGAAAGTCATTAGAAAGATGTCTCGACGGCAGTAGTTTCGTAAACTTGTTGTTTACAGTTGCATCCAGCTTCATTGCTGTTCGCAGTGCTTGTCGGATGACGGAAGTCATGATTTTTCACTGCGAATTGTTTCTTCTCACAGATATTCCCTCGTAATCCTATAATCAGCTAGGCATGCGTACTTTGTCTCTCCTTTCTCTTGTGCGCTGTTTAATTTTGTCAATCAAAATCTGTGCAATTTAACAAAAAGTCCAATCGGTTCTTTTTAGCAACTATAAATTTTCGTTTGAAAAGTTTTATAAACACAGCATTAATCTTGAAACTAAAAATATGTCATTGAGACAAATAATTTGACTTTTAATGGTGTTGGTGGTCAAATAATGAAGATTCTCGTCCGATTCAAGAAATAATCACTTTCGTGCTAGGTGGGTGTCTTTTCTTAGAATAGTGAGAGCTCTGAATAATTGATATTTAAAAATAATTTTTAGTTAATGACTATTTTTTTCCGACAACAATATGCCAGATAAGACGTGAGGTCACAATGCTTAAATGGTAATATATTAATACATCAATTATAAGCAAAGTATATCTATACTCACAGTTATAAATAATAACATTAAAAGCTCGTAAAGAATGGAGTTTATGTATTTATTTACAATTTTTCGAAATTATGTAATTTTTTCATCTCGTATAAAAAATTCCTTTAGTTTTAGAGCACAAAAAAGTGTACATTTTTTATAAAACAAAAACACCAAAAGTAAAAGCTTAATGTATTTTAAATGGTTTTACTCCCAACATTAAAAATATTAAAAAATTATACATAACAGAAGGCCAACTTTATGCGGAATCACGATTACAAGGCATTCCGTTTTTTTTTATATGATGAAAGAACATAAACATACTCGTATGTCATTCTTCACCAAAAAATAATTATTATATAATTTTTAGTAACAGTGTAATATAACTGTTCTAAAACTATTTGTGAGGTAAATAATATCTGTCATTTAAAAAATATTTTGTGGGCATATAAACAGACAATGAATAGTCGTTACCGGCTCCAGCTGAATTACTTATACACGTGTGATCTGTATTATTATGAACTTCAGACAAAACGTAGATATAATGTCTCACAATCATTAAAAAAAACAGTAGGACACTAAGCTACAACTAATTTTTACTTAAGATTCAGTAGTGTATAAATAATGTGATGATCTTTATTAAACACTATAATTACCGTATCATAAAATTTTTCTGTCACCAAACAATCATAATAACTTGAGCAGTCGCTCAGTGTACCTATAGATTAAAAGCTAAAAAAAACTCTGGATTCCTACTTTTCCTCAATTTTAAAGACAACTCAGACCTGTAAGGCTCAAAGAAATATCGAAATAATTTTCAACCACACAATTAACTGTATTCTTAGCAAGATTTATTTTTAAGACGTCATTTAAAGTTCAAATTAATTTTTTTGTAGATAAAAACACACATTAAACTAATACTTCCCGTGATTCTAATTGCAAGTGTATCATTCAAAATTTACAATAGTATCTGTATTACGCATCTAAATTTTTTTTAATTACAGGAAATTTCAGATCACACATGTATTAACCGACAAGTAAACAGTAAAGTTTTTGTATTTCTATAGCCGTTGTGCATATAACATTTTATATTTTACAGCAAACAAAATGTTTACTTACGTAGAAAGCTGAAAATTCCCTCTTTTTGCCTGCTGGCACATAAAGTTATAAAATTGACACGATTTTACCTTTCTACTCATGTTATAACTTTTTTTTTATAATTTTAATGTAATTGTGGATATGGAACAAAATTTTGTAATTTGACGATAGTGACTATGACGTAATTGCTAAAGAATAATTTATTTTTAAAAAGTGAGAGTTCATCCATCATAAAAAAATACTTCAAAATCATTGAGAGCTGTAAAGTATTAATACTCATACTATGTATGCCTAGATAAATTAAAAAAAAACTATTGTAAACTTCTTGTCAAAACAATTTTAATGAAAAAAAAAAAAAATGTTATCAAACAAACAATGATAAACAACAATAAATTGGTATTCCTGTAAAACTATTTAATTTGTTTCTAAAACATTGTAAGTGCAAGAAAGTGATTATATGTATATATGATCCACAAGCAGTAGCGACGCTCTTCTACTTTATCTAATAAATTATTGAGCTTTTACGTAGGCTTTCACCTGTAGGACAGGGAATAGCTTGGAAATATAGCTTACGTCAAAAGTTTCTTCGGTAAAACTAACGTCCAAGGCCAATACTAAAATCGAATAAAATATTATCAAATATTAGTACTTTCGAGTACGAGTTAAAAAATAATCGTATCTAAAATTTTTTGCAACATTTTTTACCCGTGATGCTACCGTATACAATATGTAAAAACTATATACTAACCTCGAAATCCAGTTGGACTTGAAACTATCACAGTTGACCAATAGGTAAATCTACTGATTAAAGCTTTTCGTTTTCAATAGTATTATTAGGCATTCGACTAAGGACGCACTGGGATAAAATAAAATAAAAAAACAAAACAATCGAATTACAAAAAGAACGGCAAAGTAATAATCATCAAAGTATTCGTCGGGGCCTGCGTTAAAAAAGATAAAGGCCGCTTAGTTTCGATCCAGGTACAACCGGCGATACTGGTAGACACAGTAGCAGATATGCCGTCTTATTTATAACGCCAGTATTTATACTTATGAATGAAAAAAAAAAAAAGTGTCACTGTTGTGAGTTAAAAACTTGGAGGACGGCAGCAGGCAGACTGATGCTATTGCCGCCTGTTGATTCGTTTCTCGCTGATATACTCTCTGCGAACGTGTTTGAGAGAGGAATGCGGCGGAGATGAGGAGGAGGGGGGAGGGGCTCACGGTCGGAGTCAATAGCTATATCATCGTTCTTCCTAGTCGACGAGACGCTTGATAAGGGAACTTTCGCGAGCCATATGCCCGGTAATGTTGAAATATTGAAACGCTTTTAAACGCATAACTTTCGTCACATTGCTCTTGGAACCCGGAGATCTACAGTTTAGTGTGCCAAACAAGTATTTTTTTATATAATTTTTTTGTTTTTTAACCACAAATCATTTTTTCAAGTCAATTTTTTGTATAAATGGCTTCAATACGTACTTAAAGGGCAATGTGCATTTAAAATTTGTATCATGTAAATAATGGACATGCACCGGAAAGTTATACTCGTCTTCATTTTCTTGCACTTAATAAAGATATTCGAATAACTTTGCCTGAGCCAATTCATTACGTTTCTTGATGAAACAGTTGCGTAACTTAAATACACTACAATTTTTTATTAAACTTAAAGATAATGAAATGCAATGTAGACGTTTACGGATAAAAAGTTTAACAAGACTACAATCTGAAGTATGATTAAAATAATTTGGTGCTCCAGCATTTTTAAGTAAACACGAGTGATGGATTATGAAAATGTCAAATAATGAGGTATTTTTTTTAACTTTGCAAAAATATTTTACAAATAAGCACGATGTAACTAACTGATCGGCATGACTTAACAGTTTGCAGTTTTATTAACATACTGATACATAGAAATCGATGCTATATAGCTGTAACAATAAAATTATTTTGTATATTTTGAAAAATCCAAAAAAAATGTACTTATATTCATCCGATTCATTTTTCATTTTTCGTATGAAAATTTTTTCAACTATATTGTCATTATATTCTTAGAAAATCACTAGGAGCTTTTTTTATTTTAATTTACAACACAAGTCACTCATACGTAGTCTCATATGCTGACTTGAGGGAAATCAATTGAAAGTTTGCTTACAAAAATTGGATAAATTAAAAAAGCGAATTGATAAAATATAAAAGTGTCCACACCATCAGCTGGTACGTAAGATACCTGTGTTGTCCAAATAAAACTTGGATGATAAAATAATGTATGTCCGAGTGTATGTGGGGATAAAATGGGTAAATGAAAAAAAGTCATCACGTTCATTCGAATCAAGAGAAACGTCATTTATTTATAATATATAAAATCTCAAAGCAAAAACAAAAGGTTACCCTAGGAAACACCACCCTCGGAGATTGGGACGTTCAAACTTTCGAATGGGCAGATTATTGTAAAGGATGGCTACTAAAATTTGGCGCGTTGAGCTGGCGCGCATGTTGGCCACGTGGTGCGCGCGACGCTGTGCCTGGAGTGCCACTGCTGTGTATATGCACTGCAATGCAGCCTCATATTGATCTTGGCTCGTTGGTGCACCAACAGCAGCAGCAGCGGCGGCGGTGGCCCGAGATAGCTGCTACTGCATGCTGGGGTGCAAGCAGGTGTAAGGTACTTCGCGGGTGGACTCGTCTCGCGAGCGACCCCTCAGGTTTTGTGCGACTCTTTGCGAATTTTATCGCTACTTTTTTCGCCTTATCAGGTATTAGCTTCCCTACCTCTTTGACTTTCAGGTTGCCTAGTTTGAATTGTCTCGTAGATCTCTTAGTTGGCTCCAAGGAGCTTTCGGCAAACGCACTTGCTTGGATCCAGACTTATTCCGTGCATGTTTCGCCGATGCAGTAGAAGTACTCGTATTGGCCTATTTTCGCCTCTGTTTGAAAGTACATTGAGCAATGGATGCTTGAGGCCCAGGTGAGACAGACACCTCTTTTTTTTATAATTAAAAGAAAATTTCGCTTTTCGCTGACGATTGATTCAACTTTTATAATTATAATTTTTCAGCTTTTATAAAATATTCGGGTCGGGGAATGATATTTTTTAATCATTTCAAAGGTTAATGAAAAAAAAAACAAAAAAAAAACACTTTCGTTTAAAAAAGATTGTAGAAGCTCTTTCGTGCTTTAAATAAGTAGAGCTTTTAATATTTGTAGTTCCAACGCCAAAAATTTATGTTTCATGTAATTGTTAGTTCTCAATCTATTTTTAATGCCAAAAGTGTACCTTCAAAACTTCAAGGACGTTTGTTTTCATAAACATAATTTACTTGAGATCTATTTTGCGGAAATGTGCTGTGTAATGAAACTTTATTAGCACATTTTTTTTTTTTTTTTTTTTTTATGTGCATTTACAACTTATTCCAAATTCAATATATTTAATTTTCGAAAGATAATTATAAATAAAAGTTAATCGTAGATAGAAACAAAGTATGAAAGTGAATTACAAATGGGAAATAATAAAAAAACTACATTGATAAATCACCAAATTTTAGTATACACACACACACAACAATTTACCAATGAACAAATTTATGTTTCACGTCAAAACATCGAATGTGTTTGGCACACTTACCCAAAACATTAGCTATAACAATCCTTTTACCCGACCTTACAAAACCTCAAAAGTGCACTGCTTAAATGTTTTTTAAGTAAATAATGTGATTAATTAAATGGTAATCTGCGTAAAGCTGTGGGCAAGTACAAAACAAATTTTTTAAGATTTTTTTCTACGTTCCTCTCAACTATAATATTGCATGATTCTATCTTAAAATCACATCTTTTAATTTTTACATTTCCAAAAATTGCAAAACAATAGTTAAGTTTTTATCACATAAACTTTGATAAAATATTTGACAACTATTAAATTTTTCAATAAGTAAGTAAATGATATAATAATGTGTTGAGATTTAATACAAATTTCAACCTTTTTTGATACAATTAACTGAGTTCTCGCGTGAACGTTTGTCAATAATGTATTTCGTGCCTTACGAAATAGCGCAACTGCCAAAGTAGCTGTAGATTGAATGAAAATACTCTAAAAATGATTTAAAAAATTGTGAATTGTTTTTTTTACAAAGATTAGTTATTTAAAACAGCTATTATTTTTTAATACCAACAGTGAAACACTACAAAACTTTTAAAAATCTTACTTATTTGTAGAAAATGTTATTAAAAAACCTTAACGTTAAGTAGAATTGTTACATTATGAATTGAATAAATATAAAGTCACCAATTTACATTTTCGTAACTTGCAGGTGACGATCGTACTAAACATTCAAGACAGCCAAGCCTTTCTAACAATAAATAAATCAGTTGGATAAACTTACTCCAAGTACTTGAAAGGCTCTGTAAACATGTATATTCTTCGAAGGTGAGATTTCACACAAGGAATGACTACTGAGTAAAAATGGCACCCCATTATGGTACTACTGGTGAGTAAAGATTTTTTCGCGTTTTTTTTATATTGCTTTCTATAAATTTCCAAGTTGTACCATACATTCATAAAAAATTTAATTGATGTGTATATATTTGTGCTGTCATTGATTCCATACTATTTTTTTTTTAATTGTGTGATGAGAATTTTATACTTAGAATCACTTAGTGGAGTAGACAAAATCAAACATCTTAATCATAATTGCCTTCATTTTTTCTGTTCATAGTATTTCGTTCTGATTTACATTAAATAAATGTTTCGTCGTTGAGTTATACAATCAAATAGGTATTAAAGAAAAAAACAGAACATGGCAAGTATGGTAAGTGCCCAAAATTAGAGAACAGTCAGCGATGTTATCGTCATACTCTTATCAACTTAATTCTAAGGATTAATTCAGTCGGATAAATAATGAATGTGAAATTAATCGTTTAATTTATGTAAATGACAAATTTTTACAGTAATAGCAGTACTAGCTACAATTATCACTCTCTGCCGTTCCGAGTGTCAAAGTAAGTATTTAAATTTATTTTTTCCTCTTGAAAGACGTATTTGGATGAATTGTAAAAAATATTCAACTTTTTTTATTTTATAAATACGACTTTTACGACACAAATGATTATCATAGTTAGGTGTCTGTATGAACATATATTTAATGAAACATTTAACACCTTATTAGATTTAACATTTTATTGTGGCTGACTAGTTTTAATGTATATATATTTCTGAAATCCATTTAAAAGACTTAAGTAATTTAAAACAGTGACTTTGGACACTATCGATCGCACACAAGTAATATATTTGAGCCTTTTAATCTTTAAATTGTATCATCTCAGACTTCGTCACCCGCTCGTTTGTGTTTTTTATCGGCACTTGAAACATTTACGAATTTCCGGGAAAAAAATGATACTGAAAAATGTAATCATTTACTCAATCAGGAATCAGAGTAAATTTTCAATACACTGATAGGAAAGTATATCACAGCACGGATCATGTGCCTACACGTGATATACAGCATAAGATGTTTTTTTATACACGAGAGGTCAAATATTTAATTTTTGCACAGTCTCGCACAGCTCTAGCGAAGCATTTGATTTTTGATAGAAATCTAAATCAACTAACGAGATCAAAAAATGTCAAAATGATTTTCAGCGAGATCCGTTTACTGCTACGAATGCGACTCTTGGACAGATCTTCGATGCAAGGACCCGTTCAATTATACGGCACTGCCTAGGGATCAGCCGCCGCTTATGACTTGCAACGGATGCTGCGTTAAGATGGTTCGAAACGCTAAATCACGTAAGTTTTAACGACGCGTGTGATTTCATCAATCGGCAACCCTCAAATCACGCAATGAGAAGAGCAGTCATTACAATAATTCCTGTTAAAGACACACGAGCCTAAATTTTGTGTATCAGCATTTATTCCTTATTTATTTGTTAATTTTTTTTTTCACCTCTTGAATGTTGCACGAAAAAAAGACATGATGTATCGAAAGCATCGGTCACATAGGCGTGCCATACAACACCAATGAGCTCACATTGCCAGCAGACAAAACAGTCGAATAACCATCAAAAACAATCATGACACGATGCAATAGGGATATAAAGAAAATAATGCATAATAACAATATTTATGACATTACGACGGCGTGTTGTAACGGCCACATATTGATTTTCACAGCCTACGAGAGTGTCCGGAGAACATGCACGTCGCAACTGCAGATAAACTTATTCATGGTGGACCACGTGTGCATGATGGAAAGTACCGGTACTGGTCACATGTGCTTCTGTGAGGAGGATATGTGCAACCGGGTTCCCTCCACCTACCAAACCAATTCCACCCTCCCTTGCCTCATAGCGGCACTCTTGGTCCTCGGCTCCTTACTCAAGTATCCTGGCTTGCTTCGTAGCTCTCTGTGATGAATATCGTCTTTCGACTAGTAGACTAACCTATATAATATCATTTTTTTATTACCTTTGTTTTGATTTTTACTACTATTACTACAATTATAATATTTCTCAAAGTAGATGACCCCTACTATTCTTGAATCACGAAGTTAAAAACAATAGATAACAACAAATGCGAGAGTGATCGAGATGTGGCAGTTAATGAATATTAATAACGTGCAATAATTTTTAACGAATGAAAGGATGCATCACAACTTTAAATCTCTAATTTTTTTGGCAGCCTGTCTCTATTTCGTCTCGCTTTAATTTAGTTCTTGAAATGGATCGCATTGAGAAATCAAACTAGTAGCAGTAGCGGTATTTATTATTTGTGAAAAAAAAACACGAGTAGCTAATTAATGTTCGATCAAACTGCCTTTTGAATACTGAAATCGAAGAACCATGCGATCTATTTTAGAAAATAAATGTTTATTTTAATGATTTTTAAAATAGATTTAATTGATCATGAGTTAATGCTAGTTTAGTAGCACGTACATATTCGTATAGCAATAACCAAGTAACATTTCTTTGGCACCATACAACTAATTATCTTGTATTATATCATACGTGCAAAATATATCACAGGCTACTTACGATGTGTTTTATGCGAATCCCCGATAAAGTACGAATTTCAAACACCGCAAGTATATTGTTGTACAACTGTAGCAAGCGATAATATTCAATAGTGTGTGATGCGCGGCATGCAACGATGTTAAAATCACCAACAATGTTTATTATTGTGCGATCTCCACCTTTTTTAGTCTACTCTTACTGCCGAAAACCTTTTTATTGCTTAAACGTGCGGCTGAATTAATTTTAAGTGTTTTTGGCTTTTATGATCCAACATCTTGACTTAGTGGAGCATCACCGCACGTTTACAGCACAGTGCATGAATATCATATGATTTTTTATAAATAGTATATGTTATGAAGAAAAGGAAAGTAATGTCTCGAGCTTCGCTTTCAGCTCGAACGACATCCATTTATTTTCTATCGTGATACTTACACGATTTTTCAACCCTCCCTCGTTTTTTCTCGACAGCACGAATTAAAATATTATTATATTTGATGAATATTTTTACTATTATTCTCTTTATTATTTTATGGTCAATTTTCGTAATTGACCCAGTATCTTTTTCACTTGTTTGCCCCGATTCGAAGTTTGATTTATATATATTGATTTTTTTTTTTCTATCGTACTAACTGTAACATTTCCCTCTTTCGCTATATTCTCTCAATTGCGATGCAAATATTGATGTAAATAATAAGTATTTGTAAGAGTCGGCAAACGGATGTTTTTATAATCGACGTGGGTGCTGGTCATCGTTTTTTCTTTTTTGTTTTACTTTTCCAACGTTCGACGTCTTTTACAAAGTTCGAAGTTTTTGACAATGTTGGTGCTGTGTTTTCATAAATTTTTTACACTTATAACACATAAAGATTATGAAAAAAATTTTAAGACAAAAACTATCATAAGAATGTATTTCTTGAATTGGTTTCGGTGTTGTAAAGTATGTTTTGTAACAAGCACGACCGCATGATGGCATGTCATATACCGTAGAGAATGTTTGGAACGTTGACTGTTTACGTATACAATTGCTTGCTTAGAACATAAATGTCAATTCTACCAACGAGTACTAATTTTTAATTAATGTCGTTCTAAACAAGCATCTTGCACTTTGATTGCGTAGAATTGCATCTACAAAAAGCAAGCGATTTGCTAGTGATGATAAAACCTACCTTCCACCCTGCTGCTGAAAAGAGAAAATAAAAAAAAATATCGTGAAGAAGCACTTTTAGGAGCCTTCAGGTTGAGCTCAGTCGTCTAAGGCTGCCAAGGTTTAAGCTGAACGCTCTTATTCCTCACAGAAAGGCTTTGTAATGAAGCCTTTTGCCAAATGAATGTCGCAGCAGCGCGATATTTCCTTGGCAGGCCATGCGGTCCGTGTCGAGTCATTTGTTCATTGTAGCACGCGCGGCTGTGAGGCCACACTGTTAATCCTCTTTCTTTTAATTATTATTTTTTTTTATTTATTAATATTTATTTAATTTATTACAGAACTGTTCAATACTTGTAATAGCTTTTTTAATTTAACATTAATTATTTGAGTTATGTAGTAGTTGTATGTAAGGTCTACGGAAAATATGCAAGTGGTTTTGAATACATTATACAGGTATGTAACTATCTCGAAAGCTTTCAAATAATATTGAACGATTAGAGAAAATTCGGACGTTATTCGCGCAGCTTGAATAACTTCTTCTACGAATCTCACGACAACGAAAAATTTATGAATGACTGAATACTGTTTTTCAAGGTCTAGTCAGAGCTTTCATTATTTATTTATTTATTTCCTTCTATACTTAATGGTAGATGAAACATTTTAATAGTATGAAAGGCAAATATAGTTTCATTAGATAAACGATGATTTATAGTATGTCTTATTATTTCGTTTAGTATTGGTATATTTTTGCATCAAGAGTAGTTAATATTTAAGTAGAGAAACCTATGTAATGGGAAAAAATCATTACTTGATATTTAAAACATTCATTATTCTACATAAAAGTTATCTGTTTTTTTTTTTACCAACTGTAATTAAATAAAAAAATTTCCAACAATAAGTTAAAAATTGGTGCATTAAATAGGTGATGAAATGATTATTGTTTGGAAAAATTTTGTGTGGTACATCAAAGAATAAGATATTTATAGCCAAGTAAAGTAACATATTTGGGCTCAGAATCTCTGTGTAAATTATATCGTCATCTTCTGGGATTTAATTGGTAAAATTATCAATTGTCAATTGATTATTGACTTAAAAACCTGTTTTCAACTATGTTACCTTAAAATATAGAAACTTGATTCGATTTTGAGCTAAAATGAAACGAATAATAATAAAGTGATGATTTTTTCTTAAAACAATAAACATCAAGTGAAACTTGATCATTTTTAAGTTAAGCTCGTGTGGCCTCGCAGCTGTATACTCCACTTGCCATGTGAGGTACTATCGCAAAAAGTTTTCTACACGTTATGTCACCAGTCAGAATTCTTCCATGTTGACAGCAAGAAGCTTTTTATGATTATGAAATAAGATCGTGTATAATTGTACTTTTGTGATTTGTTCTTATCTATGTATAAATTTTACTTATATTTTCATTTTTTTTAAATTAAATATATGCGGAACCTACTGTGCGTTGCGTTTATCATAGTATTTGTAAAATTGCTAAAAAAGTTTCGGTTATTTTTAAAAATTTACCTCAATATCTAATTTTCAAATAATTTTCAATCAGACTAACATAACTAATTCGTACTATCAGGGAAACTTTGCGTAATGATATAGCCAACTTATGAATCACGAATAAACTAACAATGGAGCACTGAAATAATTTTTATACAGGAAATATTAAAAATAAGATAGTTTTCAACACATAAGTTTTTAACATTTTTTCAAGTATCAGATTCTAATGGTGAATGCACGCGTACGGAAATACAATATGCGGCTATTGTCAAAAACATAATTAAAAATTGAATTATTCCATACTATGTATTTACAAAACAAAAACTCTGTTAAAAAAAAGTACTTTTACGTTGATAAACTGTATAAATACAAAACTAGATACTGTTTTTAAAAGTATTATAACAGATAAGATCTTAGTTATATATAAAATTATTCCTGTAGGTAAAATAATGTAGAGACTGTTAGACATATCGAATTCTTTCAATATTGAGTAGGTATTGCCTCATTATAAAAAAAATTCTTAGTATACGAAGCATATAGTTTTAACTAAGAGAAAATGTTGAATTTTTTCTTGAAGAAAAATCGTATTAATGTAGCAATCACAATTTATCCATCATAAACTTCGTAAAACAGTTTATATGAACAAAAAATGAAAAAAATAATGTATGCGTTTTACCGAGATTTGAAGTTATGAAGAGAATAAAAGTTTCAAAACTATAGATAGATCTCTATTACCAAAATATCATTAGTTTATAAGATATATATTATTGTTTCCAAGTAAGAGATATAAGAATCGTTGTATGAAAGTGTCAACTGCCTTTGTTAAAAAAAAAAAAAAAAAAAAATTTTACGAAATAATATAAAATATAAGGAATTTCGAAACTTGGCAATTACATCATATCATCTATCAAAATAAAATAATGTATCCAACAAGTCTTCTAATATTATGATAAAATTATAAATCTACATTTCATGAAGAAACGTTATCATATTGTAAAATATAAATCAAAATTAAATAAACGTGACAATAAGAACACAATTTTTCTATGTTTCTCACACACTATAATTTATTTTACACATCTTTATACTTATTAACATTTTTGAAGTAGCAAGAAGAGTACTTCGGATCAATTGTTACGTGAACATACAGTTAACATTTATAATATGAAGCCAACCTGCGAACCTACAATTGACTAAAAATTTGAGACAATATTTTCTATCCTGAAGCTAATAATAGCCATTCGAATTAGTCTTAAAATTTATGTACACGAAACAAATTTGATTTTAAATTGTTCTTTTCAAGGCCAACTTTTTAAGTTGATAAAGTAATACATTTCGACGCTTACTTTTCAAAGATGGATTAGTAATTTATGCTTTTTCAACAAAAGCAGACAACAACTATAAAAATAATTTCAAACATATATTGTCCACAGTATTTTTCATAATCCATTATTCTATTTGAATATAACTGATGATAATTTACAACAATTATATTTATTTAAAGTTCTTCAATAATATTTTTCAACTAAAATCATCTTTAAATTGTCGGATGCATCGCGTAAATTAAATATATTATTGCTGCTTGATGTAGTGGCCACACTTCCGACAAAGTTGCATAGTTTCCTTTTGACTTTCATCATTAAACTGTGACGAGACAGTATCGTCAGCAATGGCGTTTAAACAACTGTTAATAGCTCCAATGGTTTCGCTTTTGGATATTCCTTTAGCAATCCGGCAATCAGCCAAGAAGCCGTCATCTTTGAAAAGGTGATTTTTGTCAAACGAGCCGTTTGAATCTTTTTCGTCGCTGTCTTGAGAATCACAGTGATTCGTGAGACTCGTGCAAGAATCTTCTAAATTCAGTTTTTGACTATATTAGGAGGCTTACAGAGCTTAGTAGGGTCAACTTAAAGCAGAGAAAAAGGAGGAAAAATTTATAGAGCTTCGACTACTGTAGATCAAGGCTTACCAATTGTAGATTCTGACTTGTCAATGCTCAGAGAGGAATCACTTTTACCGGCAAAGTCTTCATCTTCCTTTACTTGCAGTAGATTAGCATACGGCTCCGACAATGGGCGCGCACAAGAGGCATAGCCCTGGAAAAATTTGAATGTTTCACTCTTACAAATGAATCGTACGTATTTCAACTCACCTGAACTAAATCCATTCGAGAATCAAGCGAAAATTGTTTTCCCGACATGAGAATCCCTCGAATACGTCGACGCATAGCTAAATAAAATTTAGTTCAATCTATTTAGTAAAATAGTTTTTACGAGAACAATAAAAAACACCAAGGCAAGCCACGACACATCTAACATGAATTATTACGTGATAAATTGTAAAAAAACAAAATTTTAAAACACGAGAGGTACTCGCATGCAAAAACGTGTACCTGGACTGTCCCGAGCCTCCAGACGAAGCTGGCCAAAAGTCTTCATGCACTCGTTGAAGACGTCGGCCGCATCGTATATGGCAGCAAAACTGCCGTTCACTATCTTTGGTGACATCGGAGAATTGGCCAGCAGGAGGCTCGAGCCGAAATTTTCGTTTCTCTCGCGAGTTTCTGAAAATTTTAGAAAACTCATTTGCCGTGGCTAGTATAATAATATACGTATATATGCGTCATTATGTTGAATTGGATTTCATAAAGCATTTGCCATCGTCATCATCATTATGATCGATGAATAAAATTTATATTGACCTGCTAGTGGAACTTTTGCCCTTGATAGAGAATTAACGCTTAATCCTAAAACTTCGGTTGCTGTACTTTTAATTTCAGCCCAATCTCGCAGTATATCGTCATTAGTAGTGCTGAAAAGATGACATTAACCTTTTGTTCAGGTACGTTAAATCATTTTGGAAAAAACTTACTTAGTTGATGTTATCGTAAATCTAATGACGTATTTCCCATGCAGTGCAGCTGGTACGCAGTGCACACGACCTCTGCTATTCATTTTTTTTAAGAGCTGCTCTGTCAGTGAATTTTCACCACACAAACGAAACACAACCATTCCCAAGTATCTTGGTGCTGGAATCTCAAAACGCGAATCAGCCAATACCAATGCTTCAAATTTCTTGGCCAATCTCACACCCTATAATTAATGATATTCGATATTCTCATAATCTGTAGAGTTATTGGGCAGACGTAAAGTTTAATTTTTTCAAGTTCACCTCACGTATGTGTTTTTGCAGTCCAGAGACTCCGAAATTCCGAATTACAAACCATAACTTTAATGCTCTAAATTTTTTTGACAGTGGTATTTGCCAATGCTAGGGTGATCATTGAAAGTGATCAAATTACAATTATTTTTAAAATTTTCAAGGTTTATCAATTTTTATAAAATATATGTAATCGTAAATCTTACCATGTAATCAATTGAGAGACCTAAAGTCCAAAAAAAATTTTTATGAAAATCATACATATTTCAATCTTTACGAAAGGTTACTTGCTTTATTACCTGTATTTTCATGTTTGAGATAAATTGGATCTACGTTAAAAGTCCTATGCAAAGATTGACTATTTTTCACCCTAGTATTTTGACAAACAATAAATACTGTTACGCCACAACAACTCGATGTATTTGAGACAAATTTAAACAATTTTTTATACAACTTAATTACCACATGGCTGTGCAATCGAAGTGAACCATGAGCCATTTACTTGGATTAAAAGCAAATGAATCGGCGTGATCTATACCTTGCATCCAGCCACGAAACTCTGGACAAACAAATGCGCTACCAGCGTAGGCAGCATCGATGTGCAACCAAAGACCATTTTGTTCACCTAAATGAAAAAATAAAATTTTTTAAATTTTCAAATTAACAAATACAAGAGTAAAAGTTTTGTAAGCTTACATATGGGACCTATTTCTTGCAAATTGTCAAAGGAACAAGCTCCAGTTGTTCCCAATGTTGCACAAACCTAAAAAATAAATGTCGTGACTGATTGCATTATGGTAATAATCTTTACCGCTAAGTTTTAATCAAGTGAATTTATTTAAATGTATTTGAATCATATAAATTGTATAAATTTTTGCAATCGAATAAAATTTTTATACAAAAACAGCATATATTATTTATTTTCAGTTTCTTGTATATTGAAGAAATAAAGGAATTCCCATGGGGGCCAACTAAATGTACAAAGATCAGCTTAATACTGGAAAGCAGAAAATATTTGAGGTAACGTTCATTAGAGGAAAATAGAGTCTTGAAAGCATATCGTAAGCGGATCAGCAATCACATCATTAGTTTCTTTTTACATTGAAAAATATTTTCAAAGCTAAAATTTAATAAAAATTTATTTAAACAAAACGCAAGATTTAATCATTGAATAAAAAACGTATAAATAAACTTTCAATTTTTTTTAAACACCTTGCTATTTGCAAATTATTTTATATGTATATAAATTTCAATACTTAAATTAAAAGTAAAGCTAACGTTTAGATGGAACAAATATTCGCGTTATTAATTAAAAGAGTTCGGCAACTGTACTTATGCATGATAAATAATCGATCAATCTTTTGAGTATATTGTATGAATGTAGAATTGAAATAGCATTATTATAATTAATCATCTCGCAACTAATATGTTTGTGACCAGATTTATTTGTTATTTCATCATTTGACTTGAGGAAACCTTCCAGTATTAAGTTATGAAAAAAATTGTAAATGAAACTTTTGACTTACGAAAAAGAATATAAAACAATGGAAATAGAACTCACAAAAAAAGGTACAAGGCCTTCGTTCCTGTCATATTTCAAAGCCTCGACTAGCTTTTCACCTCTCATGCTCAGATTATCATCGGACTCGATATACCTCATTCGTACTAATCCGATAAGTCCAGCTTTTTCCACACTAGAGTGAGCCTACGATAAATACAGACAATGATTTCACGCTCATGGAAATTTATTTATTTTTTTTTTTTTTATCAAGAGCCGATTGTTATTATAAACCTGATCTGAACAGTAAGCAACAAGTCTAGAATTAATTTCAGCGGGAAGCAAATCTGGTTTCGTTTCCTGTACATCTCGAATAGCCCTCGTTCTAGCTGCTAAAAGACAGACTAAAGTTGCCTCGCTAGCTGTTGTTTGGATGACACCACCTCCTGAACCACCAAGTTGGTGAAGGAAATCTTCTGGAAGCCCAATCATTTTTCCTAGCCAATTCATCACAATCGCTTCTAATTCAGTACACACTGGACTCGAAGCCTGTTTCAACGAGTACATCATAACAACAATTATCATTATTATTATTATAACTATTCTTGTTAATGTCAATTGTAAAAAAATTACGTATACATGTTAAAAAAAAAAATATTAAAAATATCAAGAATGTTGTGCAACGTAATAATTTTATGTGGAAATAATTTAAATTTTAACGTAAATTATAGTCAACCTCATTCATTTTTGATTCGTGAAATTTATACAGCTACTTTGCCAACCGTTTGCTTACTGTATTATCTATAGGTCGGAGTCATTACTTTTAATATCAGAGGAGTAAGAAAAAAACCGTACATCCAGCTTTTGTTTAATTATAAAAAAACTTTTGTATAAACTTTGTAAAAAAATATTATATCAGGAATACCATACTAAAAATCTGACCAAAGCATTAGTGTAAATTATATATAAATAAATTAGTAATGTATTAATAATGAATGATAATTAAGTATGCTACATAATTATATCTTTAATTAACTCGTTAGTTACGATGCCAAGAGCAGAAGCTCGATGCGAAGGCAAGCTCTATTCATTTTTTCCCAAGTGCACATAACGTCGATTTTATATAAGAAAAGTAAAAAAAAGTTTTCTCTTGTAAAACGCTACGGAATTTTTTTTTTTTATTGTTAGTAAAACGTAAAAGTGATTTGAGATGTGTACATAAAAATCCGTATTCATGAGGTACTTTTTGCCGAGATCAACCTAATTTAATTTTGGAGGAATCATGTTCCGTAGTGTTACTATTTGGAAAATATGTTAGAGGAAAAAAAAAGTCATGAGCAGTACGAGTTGGAGGGTTTAATCGTAAAACTGTTACGCAGAGGGATTGGAACTTACCCAGGTGAAACCTAAACAATTGATTGCATCAGCCAACATATCGGCTAAGAGACTGGCCGGTGAATTAAGAGCTGGGAAGTAAGCGTGCATGTGAGGACTCTGCCAGTGGGTGACTCCTGGCATTATGCACTTCTCAATGTCGTCAAAGATATCGTTCCAAGGCTCGCCCTCGATCGGCGCCGATGATGGTATGATGTTCCTCAAGTATCCTGGCGACACTGCTGGATACACGCGCCTATCCCGGATGTTTTCCAAATAATCAGCTATGTAGTCCACCATTTCTTTGCCTGTTCAATCATGCCATTAATGCTTTACCTTGCATTACGATTAACAATTGATTTTTTATCAGCTCGCGAAAAATTTCAAGGATCCCCAACATTATTTCCAAGATTTATGTCATTTAATTTTACTCTATTTTTATAGTAGCAATTTCATTATCTACTAGAAAATAGTAAAAAGAAAATAGTGGAAATGTGTAAAAAAAAGGGACAAGATACGAATCGTAAATCGTTCTAAGAAAATTCTATTGATTAAATGGTTAAAGAACAAGAGTACTTTGTAGCTTGTATACAAAGATTGTCAACGGTCAGCACAGCTACACTGTCATTCTTTTGTTAGAGGAGAGTTACAAACAAATAAAATCAAACCAAGGAACGTAGATGCTTCCAAACACTCGACAGAGAAAGCTTTAGCGCGTTGACAAACGTATTGCAATCGCAGCGTTAACGAGTCGGTAGACAATCTCTCGGCGTAGTGGGTAAATAATTGCTTGGTTACTTAAAGGAAACCATACTTTTTCTTGAAGAATAAAAAAGTACTTGAAATAATGGATGGAGAAAAATTGATGAAAAAAATACGGAAGAAGCGTAGACTTTTAAGTAAGTAAAAGGATAAATTTTACAACATTTTTGAAGGTTAACAATAAAATAAACAATGAAAAGGTACATCTGCGATGGTCGCAGCTGTACGAAGCTTTAAATTGATTACAATCACTTACTGTCAGCTTAAAGGGTTTCGGAAGTGTAAGCTATGGAATTGGACTATTGGTAAGAAATAAAGAGACAATATCGCGCCCGTAAAATCACCCCAGCGCCGAGATTTCTTCTCATTGTCGTGAATTGTAACATCCGAGGGGGACCCTGTACATAGCGCTTATACTTCTCGTTTCTTTTTCATTCGAATACAGATTGTAAAGAAATAAAATTCATTTAACCAGAAATTATTGTCGTTTACTCATTCAAAATAAATTGTTAATTATCATCAGTGATGCTGCTGCAACGATTTATGCACCAATTTTATCGAGAAAAAAAAAGGTCGAACACAAATAAAAATGATTAAATAAATAAGTAAAAAAATTACTCTAATATTTAAAAAATAATGTTACGTGTAAAATCAATAAAAACTTACCATGCTGCCGATACTCGTCAAGATTCATTTTGCCTGCAACAAACACGGAATTCTAGGCTCAGCAGTATCTAGGCAGATAAAAATTCTTTAAACGTGCGACACGGGAACACAACAAAATTTTTTTTTTTTTTTTTTTTTTAAGACACTTTTCTGCGGTCTGTTGTCACGACCGGCAGATAACTCGAAGTCTGGTTATAGGACCCAAATCTCGAAATTTCGATCGCAGCGTTTGACGCGCATGGGGCCCAAATTTTTGCTCAGAGAGCCGAAAAAAAAAAAGAGAAAAATCGAATCAAAAAAGATGCGAGGGAAGAGGTCGGAAGTCGCGGGCACGCCAATCTGATCGGTGGATGCGTCGCCGAACGAAGCTGAGGTGAATCTTTGTGGATGTGAAACGCCACCCGATTATTTGTACGGATTCGCACATCGATCGGACTGTCATTGAGTCTGAGCTTATTAGGATAGTGTCAGAGGCGCATCATGGCCTAGAGCTAAATACTTACTTTCGTTGCCTTTCGATTCTCTTTTACTTTATTTTTTCTCGCGCTTATTTCTCGATTGAGCAGTTTATAGGCCAAACTCAAAGATAAAACGACCAATTTTAAAAGTAATGATCTTTAATTGGAAATTTTTTCTGGGCGTACCATACGCTCAATTTTTTTCTTCGTTTTTTCAACCTTTTGTTTTTTACTTCATTAAATATGATTTTAAATTAAATGTACTGGCGTATAGCTATGTTACCTAATGCATATCTTGCAAGAGACAGAAAATTCAATAGCAGAATATTTGACTTTCTCATTGTTCAGGTTAAATTTAAGCAAAAATATACAGAAGCTCTTCAACTATGCGTTCAAGTTGTGCAATTAACTTTTGGAAACATCGTGTCAAAATTATTTTAAATCACCTTATTCAAGGTTCTGCTACGTCAGGGAAACAATTGATACAAAAAGTTTACAAGAGATTAGAATAAAAAGCTTAGATGAGCTTTAAGCGCTTCCTATCTACGTATCCTTATGAAGAAGTCACAAAAGTGATGATTACATGCAGCCAGCATTGTTCTTTATTAATTGGATTAAACTGACTTTTTCGTAAGCAAAACAACATCTGACGAGCACACGGGAGCTTTTGTTTCAATGAGGTTTCGAAAGCGTACGAAAGACGATCGCTATAAAAAATAAACAATGCAAACAAACTATTTTTTAATGGATAAATATTAACAAAACATTGTTTGCATTTCAATCAGACTTTTTATGTTGGTAATTTATTTTAAAAATCTATTTGTAATTTTTTTTAAACAACATCGACTGATTACGAATGAGTCGTTCAAAATACTAAATGGTACATGCAAATATAACGTAATTTAAAGGAAAAAGATTGAAAAGCGCGCTATTCTATACATTAACCAGGGTGAACTCGATATTATTAAAAGCGCAGCTTTCAGCCGCATCCGCTTCCGACTTTTGTAATTTCCCGTGGGTTCTCTGGGATGTGGTGCTACGTTTTCCTTATAATTGGCACATAAAATTTCACTGTATTACATAAAAGAATAATATTTTAATAATACTTGTCACTGATTTGATACTTTTTTACAAACATCGAAAAAATAATGGTTACGATTCCATGGCAATGTACTAGCTGCCCGTCATTCGATCAGTTTCGGTAATTTAAAAAAAAAATTGGCTCACCCTTTTCAAAGTACTCTAACAGCGACAAAGTTTGAATCGATCGCAATGAATCGCACTGAATGTCGATTAAAAATTAAAAAAAAAAAATTAAATAAACGAGATAATCACAGTGCGGTCACTTCGGCCAAAGCTTGCAGAAAATCACTTAAAATTCGTGGAAACAATCAAGGTCAGTTGGAGCTTGTTAAACTATAGGCCGACGAAGATATGGTGGAGGTATGAGCATGGCTCAACAAGTATCAGCTTTTATATAGGAGAGGGATCGTGGTCCGGTATCCAAGAGAAAAGAGAAGGAAAAAGAGGCGCAAGCGCTGCTTCTGCTACGGTTGCTGTTGAGGGATGCTGCTCCAAAAGCTTTTGTTCGAACTATGTTCTCCTCCTTTTACCATTTTTATCCCCATTCCTTCGGGAGCGCTTGCTTATTTTTCGTAGTGCGCGTGTGAATTTATCTTTGAGAAAAGCAATGACAAAGACCAAGTTACCCAACTGATTAAAAAGCCAGCTTATTATGATGCATTGCTGGACAATAATTATTATTGCCACGGTGATAAAAATGCATGGTTTTTACTCGATACGTTGGAAACCAGAACATTTAATGATTCTATGAGGATGACGATTCGTAGTTTGTGGGATATTTCGCAGACGGGTTTGTCAACATATTCAGATTTTATTAATAAAATAGTATTGTTAAAATAACATTAGGAAGAAATAATTAATAAAGCTTATAAATAAATATAAAAATAATTAATAAAGTGGTAATCAGGAAAGCCGCCGTCGAAATGATACGAACTGTAAAGTATCGTTGCTATTATTTTATTCAACGTATCCGCTCTCAATAGATCTTTGCCTAATTTTTCAAACATACTTTTTTAATTTCATTACAATCTGCAATGGTTAAAGCAATCGTCAAACATATACTCAAAATCATTACTATGGATTCTCATGGTAGTTATTAGCAAAAAATTTAAATAATATTATTTATGCAAGTATCACTATCATCGTAATCATTATAAATAACAATATTATTTTTATCATTATTAATGATTATGTGACTATCACTTATCGTTCGTCAGTCTATAATAAAGTAAATGATATTCGTTAATTTATATTACGTACCTGCGTGATGGACTAAACAAAACTTAAGTAGTGTAAAATAAATATATTTGTACAACGATTTAAATTCTAAAAAATTGTTGTATTACATTTGAATGATAAGAATATTGAATCATTATAGTTATAAGTAAATTAAATATTATTTATAAAAATTTCATAGAAACTTATATGGATCAAATCTTATCCATAATTTTAAGCTATAGATATAATGGATTGCATTTCAATTTACATTTTCAAATGGGCTCCAGTATCTACTGTACCGACTGCAGCTGAAAAATCTTAGTAATTTAACATGTACCAACATGACATTTTATCGTTTTTCTGCAAAAAATTTTTATAAGATAAAATTAAAATTGAAGTAGTTCATACTTTGTGATTTTAAGCTTTTACAGTTTTGTAAACAAACATTATTTCAAATCATATGATGCTTGGTACCAAGATCCAGAGATGGTGCTGCTCCGCATCTTTTAAGAATATTTCGCTGATCGCTGCACGAGCCAATGAATACTATTGAATTAAAAATTATTCGCTGAATGCACCTGCTCAAAAACTTTAATTGTTATGTACACTTGTGGACATAAAAATAATTTACAAGTAAAATTCTAATTTTTACGTGTAAAAACGTGAATTTATAGTTAAGATTTTTTTTTTCATCGCAACTTTTCATAAAACATTATAATGTTGATCTATAAGAAAAATATTTGTTCTTCACACACTATTATGAAGTTGCATTATTTTTCACTGCAAAGTGTAGTACATAGTATACGAAACCATAGTATAGACATCGTTCAACAAAAAAATGCATCAGACTGCAGGGTTATCATCTTCGCTTTTGACTATTGCTTGAAATTCTCTACAATTTGATTAATTATTTATTTGACCTTTACTTGCATCTTACACTAATAAATAAGTGAAAAAGAGAATCTAGAAATAATTTAATTTCTTACTAAAATAAAAGGTCCAGCATCTGAAAAATTAAGTAGAAACATACGAGTAAGGTAAGACGATCTATCGATGGGCGGAAACTAAAGGTTATCAATCTGGCTTATTCTGAAATTTTATAATTTTCAATACGTAATAAAGAGTAATTTAGTGCAATGTGTTAACTTTTTAATGAAAAAATGAGTTGTTAATACATATTTTTTAGATTTTTATAACAAAATTATTTATCAATTGTCAGACAGCATTGGAAATAATGAAAAACCATGTTGTAATGTTATAAAGACTTATATACAGTAGAAAAATCAAACCGTTAGACATGAAGTCTAAATGATTATTGTTGAAAGTATCAGGTAAAATTTTCATCAAGATATTATATTTAGTTCCCAACTAATAATAACCAAACAAAAAGAAATAACGATATTTTGAAAACGAAAAGATACAGTAAATATTACATCATGTTGTCTCAAAAATTGACTTTCGTCCACTTCAAAGCTCTCCCATGAGAAAGCAAAAACCAACTTCATTCAAAACCATTTGATCTCTTTTGTAAACGGATTTGACTCACAGCATCAAAATCTTCCGAAGAAGAAGGCAATAATTGTCTCTTGGACGCAAACAGCCATCATTAGCAACATCACTTACACGAGACTAAACAAATTGTGATCAAAATCACTTAATCACACTCGAAAATTTTCGATGCACACGGCACGTAAGGCCCACTTGTGTAAAAAACGTACGTTGTTCAAGAAAACGAACAGAACGAGAGTCACGATCTTGCCAACCGATTAGCCATCTTGATATATTGTAGGTATAAACAACACGTGGATGTACCGTTCGACGCCGTGAGCGACGACGCGATGCCAACTCGATGTAACATATAGAACGTAGGTGTATACGTATAAACGCTTACAAGTATGTATATGTACATAGGTGCACGTACTTACATTACAATACTTACTTGGGAAATTTTTCACGTTGAAAGCTGTTGAAAACGTGATATCATGTGCGTAGCCGTTAGCCACGCACTGTCTCTCCTGCTACACGCTCAATTACTCCGATGCAGTTGTTTCATAGTCTCATCTTCAGAAGTGTTGAACAAAAAAAAAAAAAAACAATTTTTCTTTGTACATACGTATTTATTTCTACACCTTACACCTTCAGGGAGCTATGCGGATAATGCGTACCCGACGTCAAATGTTCGTGTCACAAGCAAAAAGTGATATAAAAAAAAAAAAATGAGTAAAAATAAATAAAGTAGCGTGACATAATTTACGTTAAAGTCAATGTCATAATTTATGGACATTGTAGGTACCTGAATCACAGTACTCGGGTAATGCATAACTATACTCGGTCGGGTGAATGTACGCGCAAAATATGATGTTGCGCGACAAGTTCAAATTAGAGGAGAACTGCTTCCATCGTTGATAAATGAATACTTTAGGGAAAATCTTATTCACTTTTATTTATTTATAAATCAGCCTATAATAATAAAATACTAATTTGTACTTGAACCACAACTGAAATAGATGTGGACAAAGATTTTGAAAGCTCGAGGCTCGCCCCTCTCTCCCTCTCAATTGACCGTCTTAAATCAAAATACAATCGGAAAAAACAAATCAATACAAAT